CCAGTGATGGAAAGCTCTCCCTCCTGCCACAGGAAAAACCCTGAAGGAGAGGTGGACTTGATCACAGGAGATGTTGTCCCAGCCCAGACAGGGAGTCTCTGACCCTGACAGCTGCAGACAGAGCTGGGGACAGGAGCATGGCACACAGGCAGCGTGGCAAGCCCGGGAGATGCTGGGCTCCTGATTGCCCTGTCAGTGCTGAGCATCCTCTGAGCTGTGCTGCTGCTGCAAACCTGTGCCAAGCACGGTATTTTGAGCTCAGCTGCATTCAGGTTGTTTTCTGCTTCACCAGGCACTCACAGGTTCCTCCTGGAGAGCTGACTTGCTGCTCTCCCATCCTGCCCCTGCCCCCCTGCCTCTCCTTTCCCCTCTCACCCCATCTCACAGTAATAACCATCAGCTTTTAACAGCATGTCCTACACTGGAGGTTTTGTAGTTCCAGCTTTTAAAATGATTTAGTGTGACAGTTCAGTGCTGAATTAAAAAAAAAAAAAAAAAAAAAAAAAAAAAAAAAAAAAAGGAAAAAAAAGAGAAGAAGCAGAGAGAAAAAGGAGAGACAGTCCCCTTAAGGCAACAACATTATGGAGCAGCGATCTCAGAGGAACAAGGGTTCTTCTCTGGTTCAGATGTGCTTGTCAGAGCTCAGTGTCGTCTCTGAACAAGAAATCTCTCTTGCTGGCCCAAGGCACAGTTTTGTGGTCAAGAGGACAGAAAATAAAGGGAGGGAACTTCAAAGAAGCATAAGCTGCATTAGCCCGCTGGGGCGGGTGGCTGCGGCACATCCCATGGCTGACAATTACGACCTGCATGCCGAGAAAGCTTGCCTCCCTCTTGTCAGAGGGATAAGACACAGGCTGTGAGCTTTAGAGCTTTGAGGATGTGTACAGTTCATGATGAAAGATAGCACTTCAAAGCCCTCTGCCTAGAAACCCAGGGAGAAGKAAGAGCGGAGGGTAAGCAATCTTTTTTCCTGGGGGGGTGCATATGCGGGGGAAGGATAAGACTTACTTTCACTGTCATTTATTATTGCCATGAAAATGAAGCCTTGCACTGTTTATGGAATCTCTCATTAAAAGGATCTCTTGATAAATCGCTTGACAAACATTCATTAATTAAGTCTCTGAGCGCACTTGGCTGACAAGCATTAGTCTTCATTTTGCAGGAGGGGGAAATCGAGGCCTGGAGCTCAGTGAGCCCCCACCAGCCAGGGCAGGGCGGGGTCCTGGGCAGCCACTGCGCCACCCAACAGAGGGATCACACCGCTCCCTCCCTGCCCTGCTAGGTTCTGATCCAAAGACAGGAGCAGCACACTGTCTTCARCAAACTTCAGAGCTGTTTGTCCCCCGACTGCCTCCTGGGGCTGTGGGGCAGGCCTGGCTGTGCAGGTCTGGCTCCTCCATGGGCATCCCCTGCCGTGGGGGCTCCTGGACACCCCTTTTATCCCACAGGCACCTCCCCACCCCCACCTGCCTGGGCTTAGGAATGGAGACACCCAGGCTCTGCTTTTCAATGGTGCTTTTCCTCCTCAAGGCCTTTGGCCTATCAAACCAAGCACGAGAAACAGCTCTTTTAGGACACCCATTTCACCCTCACTCTCTCAGTGGCTTTGGGGTCACACAGTGGACACCCAGCAGGTCATCTGGGCTGCAGCTGCAAGGCTACCTAGATAGAAAAGGCACCACACCTCTCCCACTTTCCCTGGCACCCAGCAGGTCTGGGGCAAAGAGCGCTGAGAGAAAGATCAGCTGCCTCCAGCCAGATCCTCCAGGGAAGCCCAGGCCAGAGGGAGCCAACAGTGAGGACCCAACACTCCTTAAAACACAAATTATCCTACTCCACACACTTCAAAATACGATCACAGCAGGCAGGAGGTCCTTGCAGGGATTTAGGGGTGCCTGTCCCTATCACCTCCTCAGCTCCACAACACATCTGCCTTCCTATCCCTCACYGTCACCCCTCTGCCTCATCCTCCCACCTGGAGACAGAGGGACAGCTTTGGCTTTTGCCCATGCTTCCCCTGCCCTTCCTGGTACTCGCCCTTCAGAAAACGGAAGGGCTGGCTGGCAGATTCCTGTGAGAAAGGAGCTGCACAAGAGAGCAAACAGACCTTTATTATTTGTTTATTGATTTATTCTCCAGGAGGATGTAGCACCCGGCCCTCGGCAGCAAATGCCCTTGTAACTCTGTACCGCACTGACAAGTTGGCCAAACAAACACTTTTCTGCCTCAGAAAACAAAGACCGTCAGCAGAGCAGATCAGGGTTTCTCAGCTCTTACTTTTAATTATTATTTCCTCACACAGAGGATTTAATCTCCTCTTGTGCTGGAAGCTCAAAGTGCCCCATTCAGCCTATTTCACAGCTGTGACTAGCGGGGTCACCCCGGGTCAGGACACCTCTCTCTGCAGGATAATAGTGCCTGGTCCCCGAGTGCAGTGGACATGCACGCYGTGCATCTGCTGCTGCAGATGAGCTGGTGGCAGGAGGAGGAGCACGGCCACCACCGCCGAGGGGGCAAAGGCAAATCTTACCCACAGAGCCCCAGACAAAAGATGCTGCTCCTCCGGCCTTTTGTGCAGCTCTCGAGAGCGGTCAAAGGTTACGTTTTACAGCTGTTCCAGCCTCAAATAAGCGTAACCCGCCTATCTTAATACTTAATTGCATTGCTGAGCCGCTGATAAACTAGGACRGCATAAAACAAATACAGGGCTGAACACATCCCCAGGGAAAGTTTGTGGGAACAGAGRGAGCTGCACCAAACAATGGACTGGGAACAGGGGGAGTTGCACCAGACAATGAATCCACTTTATGTGTTTTAGAAGCCTGGTTACCTTCAATAAAAGCTRCAGCATGGATGCTGCACATTTGCTGGATAATACCCCTCCAAAAAGGCCGCCRGTGTTTACAAAAGAAGGGCACAGCACAAATGCCCACGGGAGAGGACYAGCACGTGCCACACCACGCGTGTGCCCATCGGGAAACCGTGTGGAGCTAATCTCCTCCCCACAGAGCCACCACGGCTCCAGCCCTGGAGAACACGGCCTTAAATCAACGCTCTTATCTCACAAAAGGAATTTAAGTGCAGTGCTTTGAAAGTCACTTTCTCCCGGCCATATGGCATCCCCGAGCCTGGTCGTGTAGGAGCGGCGCTCATTTGCATGTGCAAGAGACAAATCTGGCTCTTGCATTGCGGGAGTGATAACAGGGCGAGGGGTAAAATTTAGCACTGTTTGGGTTTCTGCACAAAATCTCTGCCGAGGCAAATTTCTCTCACCTCTCAAGCCAAGTGCCAAACGCTGTGGTAGCCCCCAGGAGAGCTTGCCCACRATGGCAGCCCATGCCATCAGCGAGGTACATCGGTACAGGGCCAGGGTAAAAGAGAAGCCYGAGACAAAACCCATGATCTGAACCCAAAGCTGGCAGTGCCTACACCCACATTAAAGCAAACAGGAACAGGCTGAAATTACAGGGATATAAACAGCACTGAACACAAACTTCAAGACAGCAAATTCACAGGCGTTCGCACATTTAACTTCCTGATAGGGAGGTATTTTGAAAACTCATGTTGCTGAGCTGCTCCATGATATGAAAGGGTGGGGGATCTTGGGCTTCAGCACAAGGAGGAGCCAACAAAGCTGCTAACGCTTCAACATAAGCCTCTCCAGCAGATCTCTGTGCCAGGCATTATGCAGGATGGCAAGATTTTTGTTTTGCCGAGGCAGTGCCGTATGGGCAATCTGGTTTGCCTTATCAGYGAGCCAAGTGAGAGAAATGTTCTTCCCCACCATTTGTTTAAATTTCCCTCTTTCCCCCAGATAAAGCTGCATACTTTTGTAAAAATATCTGCAAATGTAATAACATAATGGGCTTGTCATCGGTTTCCACATTTGGCACTGAAAATCTGCAAAGCTTGGAAAGAAAGAGAATTCCTAATAGTTACTGCTGCTGAAGAGCCCAGCTAAAAACTGGGCCTGGATCCAGGTGATGGAGCACACAACCACCAAAACGCCTTTCCATGTCCAGCACCTACTCCTACACAACTGCAAATTGTTCCTTTCTTGGCCCCACTGAAATAATGCAAGAAGGTTATTTCATCGCTTATTGATGGGCCTCATCTCCCCTCTTTGGGGTATTTGCATGCCCCYAACACCCATTACTGCTGTGAACTGATTTTATTTTGCAGCTCAATGCAGAGGATGCTGCAGACAGCCACGAGCCCTGGCAATTTATTCAGAGTCACAYAAACCTCACATGGCGAGGTGGAACCATTCCCAGCACAAGGCTTTCCACCCCGCACCACAGCTCGCCCTCTCCAAGCCTGTTTCCTCGGTGTTTCTGCCCAGTACTCATCTCAGTGAGATTATCCCTGGGAACACATGAAACCAGAGCAGCCCGGTTTTATGGCTGTGCCGAGCCCTCAGAGGAGGGCTTGGCGTATTTAGAGATCCGTGGCAGTGCCCCCCAAGGGGATGTGGAGCGAGGCAGTCTCTTAGCAACACCCAGTGCCTATCACAGGTAGCTGTCATTAACAGCAGCAGCGGAGCTGTGCCGTGCCCAGCACCCTCCAGCGTGTCCTGGAGACACCAGGCACAAATGCTCCGTGGCCACTGGCAGGGGAGGGATGTGCAAACCTTGTCAGGATGGCACAGACAGCACCAAAATGCTGATTTRTTTAAAAGAAATGAGGATTTCATTGTATTAGAGGGAGAAGCATATCCCCTACAGTAAGGACTGACTTCTCCTTTGTCAGTAATCCCTCTCTCYGAGACACTTAATAACAAATCTTACTGGAAGGGAAGAAGTCCCACCCCACACCGAGACAATGCAGCTCTAAATTTTAACTTAAATCATCACGAGTCTGTAAATCTGATCTTTATGACAATGTGTGTGGCCAAGCTGCGGGCTCTGGCAAAACTGATGTCCTGCTATTCGCACGATACGAAAGCACAACTCAAATCTCTTGTGGTAAGATAAAGAAAGCATTTCTCCAGATCACTTACCTTTATTTGCTGCAGGAGAGAACAGCTTCTCAGAGCCTACAGAAGCCTGAAAAAGGAAGAGAAAGAGAGGGTGAATAATCCTGRAGGAGAAATTCGGAAGGCTTGCTCACAAAAACACAGCTCATAAAACAAGTGGGTTATCTGGAGACCTGCAGTTGCGCATTGCACCTGGAGGGTGCAATGTTGTGCCATTAAAGAACGAGCATGCATCCTGAGGAGATGAAAGCCAAGCAAGAGGACTGTCCTGATCTCACCCAACTACATCCTCCTGTCTCGTTTATTTAGGCAGCCATGCAATGCACAGCTATTTTATCCATGATTCCTCATATAAAAACAAAAACCAGTGAAACTGCTATCAAGCTGAAGGAAAAAAAAAAAAAAAACAAATCAAAACACATTTCAAAGGCTCTCTCACTGAAAATAAGCTCGTTTCTTGCTGAACATGCAAAATGTAATTTGTGTATTGGAAACACAAGTTGCAACTGAACACATCTGTATGAAGGAGGGTGTTATTTAATATTATGCCAAATGAGAGATACATGCTGCTATGCACTTAGTTGAGTATGAAATAAAACGACTTCCTCTTGGAAGAAGCCCGTATCCTTGCAGACTGGGTTGCACTATGCTGTCTGAACTCCACAGCAGTGTATTTGTGCTCCTCACAGCTCTGGGAAATAGTTAAAGAAATCCAATTAACCTAAACCTTGTAAACAGCTTCATGATAATCAGGGTCACTGGGTTACAGACAAGATGATAACGACAGACAGGGAAAAAAAAAAGTCCATTCATCGTAAATAAAGCTTTTATGAGTTAATTTGATGGCTTCCTTTCCTCCCCCCACTGGTATCAAACAGTCAACCTATTTCAGCATAAGCTTTTCCTCCTCGCTATCTGATAAAATAGCAAGCAGCCTCTCCAGAATCAAAGCTGGTCTGGGAGCAGGAGCACGATCAACATTTCCACCATCTACAAGAAAGTATCAACAACGTGTTGGCACCGACTGCTGCATGAATACAATGGGGTGAAGTACAAAGCTGACGAGCAAAAGATACTGCAAGTGAAAAAAGCCTTTTTCCCCTGGCTCTGCTTTAAAAACAATGAATTAATTCAACACATGGCTGAACTAAGTTGATTTTGGTTTTGATTTTATTSATTTTATTCTAAGGTGCCTTGGGAGATTTGCATGATAAAGAGCACTACAAATTGTATTATATCATCATATATTTTAAATGACGACTCAGAAGGAAAAAAACAAATAGTAAAATGCAAGAAGTTCTGCATGAGATATAGTAAGAAGCAAGAGTGATCCATTAATGTTATTTCTAAGAAAAGTGGCACTGCAAGCACTGAATGTCTTACTTAAWGCAAATGTATAAAAAAGAGAGGGAAAACAACATGAAAAATAGGTTGAGGCTGAGACACATAAGAAAAAAATTCTGAATTATGTCCACGACAAAGCTGCACGTGTAGCTGTGGCATGTATGATCATTACACAGCTCAGCAAAAAGATCCTAAAATCTTAGGGAAAATCAGTTACCTGCACGATCCCTTCACTGCATGGATTAAAAAGAGGAAGAACCAGGATTAAACAAGGTTTTGCCTAGGCTGGTTTGCAAAGAAAGTGTAACAGCGTCACACAGCAGCAACAACAGTGGTGCATAAAACGTTTGACAGCCAACTCTGAATTTACAACCCATTGTTAGGAGATTTTTCACTTATAATCAACACCGAGTCACCACGGGCGCAGAACACATGTGCAGGCTCTGGGAACTCACCCACGCTAAGGGCTCACACAAAGCTGGGGCCCTGCTCTCTCAGCACTCCACAAGCACTCGGACACGTGGCAGGTGGATAAATAGGATTCCCCCATGTTACAGGCACTCAAATTGCAGTGTGGCTCGCACTAAAGCCGGAGCAGTGAACCAGAGCTCAGCCACCAACTCTCAGTGCYGGCTCCTCGCTCCAGAGGAGCTGCTCAGGACAGTCCATCCTGGGAGCCATGGCAAGCGAGACACAGACCTTCTCAGCCACCCCAAGCAGAGAAGCTTTGTGCTTCCCCTGCTCTGGACAGGCTGATCTCACACCTCTGATCTCATCCCTTTTTGGCAGCTCACTCCCTCTGCACATCTCGGGCTCAGGGCAGACTGGCAGCGCTCACTCGTGAGCTGAAGATCTCCGTGCTACACGTCCAGACTATACAAAAACAATGTTTAAGGAAGTCGAGCCAGAAAATTCACTTTAAAGACAAAGTAAAACACCCAGATTATTGCTCAGTCTTCTGCTATCAGCATGTGCCACCGCCTTCCACAATCAGAGTCAACATTTACAGAGCAGCGTTTTCGACATCGCAGCTTCAGTTCACAGACACAAACCTTCACACCTAGAGTTTACAGTAACTTTTGCTCTCACTTCTGGTGATTTCTAGCTCCAGATCTGAGCAGTTTTTGGCACGAGMACCATTCTGAAACAGTGAATGCCTGTGCTATAGGATATTCTGCGAGCTGCTGCAAAGGCAGGAGGGAAGCTGGGGGAGGAAGAGCCTGAATACATCATTCAACCCTATCAGTCACCCTTTAAAGACAGCATACAATAAAACCTATGTGTCTGAGGGAGCCCACTAATGAGTGAAAAAACCCAGCAAACCGACACATCTGCTAAAACAAGTCCCCTCCCAAATTYTCCCCTGTTCCAAGCAAATCATTTGCATATGTTTAAGAAGGGATTTAAAAATAATAATTAAAAAAAGGTGGAATTCTTCCCTTGTGAACAAAACCAGGCATTTSGAGTCTTTTATGCAGAAGTTCAAGCCATCCCAGGAAATCACACGATTTTTGACAGCAAAATGAAACTAGAAATGTCCTTTTTCCTCCCCCCTCTCATTGCCCCCTACATGCCTCCATCTGAAGGACATCTCACGGACCCCTCAAATTCCTTTTTGCTGCTGCACAAGGCAGCGAGACCTGCCCAGCCTGAAGACACCTCCACCCTTCCTTGTTCACCAGCAGCTCATCTCCCTTGCCCCAGAGCACAGCCACAGAACCCACCATGGGCCTGTGTTCATGAAAATGCTGCTTGCACAGCCCCACCCTCATCCCCAGGAACAACCCGGGCATTTTAAGCGTATCTGACATCTGTCCCCAGAGCATCAATTTCTGGGGTAACCTCACGCCGCTGAAGCTCCTAAGACTCGGCACCCTTTCGATGACTTCCCRGTCCCCTTTGTGTCTTGTTCAACCAAGTTACCAATCCTTTGTCACCTTTGGATTTTCTTTCTTTTCTACGCCAGACCTAAAGGGAGAAAATGCCTCCACCCAGCTCTGTGACAGTGTGAAACCAGGCTGAACACACTGMAGAGGAAAATAACATTTCTGCCCTTTTCTGCTTTGCGGAGAGCAAGCGGAGGAGCGGTGCTCCAGTCCCTCCCCCTTCCTCCCCTTGAACCCAGCACATATAAACACTGATTCAATTTTCAGCTCTAAAAGCTCAGCAAAGGCAGCTTTTTCCTCAAATGTGAGGTGCTAACCACAAAGGATGTAGCACACCCTCGCCTCTGAAGGTGAGCAGTGAAGCATAATGAAGTCCATGCCTCATCCAGCCTGGTTCTCAGTAACCCAAGGCAGCTGAAAGGTGCAAGAGCTCTTACAGATTAATGATTTAATGATTATATATAACAGAACATCACCATCTGACAAAGACAGCATTATAAACTATGTCAGGCCTCAYAGTAATTACTTCTTTTTGCCCCTTTATCTGTAGCCTATAAATGGCTAACAGGGAATAGAACTGCTCCTTATCACCAGCARCAGAGGCTCTGTGGATGTTCATGCCATCTCCTGGAGCACCAAATGCCAGATACTAGTCTGATACTTCAGGAACCTGAGAGCAAGACACTGAGAAATGGCTAAATTGGAAGCAGAGTACTGTGAGGGACCTGGTATGAATGTCATGTACAGGGCAAAAGCCAAGCGTTTCCTCCAAACGAGTCCAGCACAGTAGGCAGAAGGAAAAGGAGACAGTAAAATACAGTTCAAATTTTATTTCTGGATGGCTGCCTATCTACTAGACAGCCAAGAGCCAGTCTCCAGAGAGGCTATTTGTACAATTACTGAACTTAGCAAGCACTAAAAAGCTCACAAGAAAACCCTTCTCTGGGAGATTTCCAAACGAGAAGTGCTGGATACGCTTAGAGAAACTTTCAGCCTAAGCACRGACACTACCTGAAAATTTTGGATCAGTTTTCATTCTTTCCTTTGATCTGTCTCYCCTGCTTTTACCAACCACTCCAATGCCACTTGATCGCTTGTCCAGYAGAGAATTTCAGCACATCAGTAGTGCTTTACTACTCTCCAGCTCACTCTKCAAGTCATTCATACCAGACCCTTCATCCAGTAATATGAGAACAATAACTAGAACAGGAAGGTATTGTTTGGGTTGGGATTCTTCTATAGGAAATGGAAACTGATACACATGGAAAGGTGCAAGAGATGCCTAGAAATAGCACACATGCACACAAAAACCCCAAGTAAAAAYCCCTTTTTAGACAAAGTATTCTACACATTTCAGGATACAGAAACAGCCTGTGGGTAACACTGCCTGMATTGTGAGGGGATGTTTCAAGGTAGCCTACGGTCTTTCCAAAGCCTGCATTACTTTTGGAGAGAAACCACAGCTCGGTTCGGAAGACAAAAGAAAAGTTAGACCTGAAACTCAATCATTTTTGTGAACCTGCTAGGAATATCCAGCTTTGTGGYAMACGGCTGGCTGGGACACAGCACAGYCCAGCTGTGTAAGGGATTAAGCAAGAGGGAACAGGACTTCCACAAATCCACAGTGATTATCTTCCCACAGAATTTATAGACTGGGCTTTCAAGAGGGCTCAACACTCAGCAGCTGCCTTTGGGGCACCAACCTGACTGGAGCTACCAGCTATGGAMCATTTCCAAAAATCCATTTAGAAACTTGAATGGTGACCAAGTTGTTCTGAAAAATCTGGTTACAGCTGATAGTTGGGATCATTTATGAAATTCTGTCTGTTGACTCCAGTGC